CGATCCGAGAAGTCCGCGCGGGCCTCCAAAAGCGGCCCCGCGGCGCGGCGAGGGAGATGGCTACCTCCTCCTCCTCCTCCTCCTCTTCCTCCTCCTCCTCTTCCTCCTCCTGCTCCTCCTCCTCCTCCTCCGCCTCCGCCTCCTCCTCTTCCTCCTCCTCTTCTTCCTCCTCCTTCTCCTTCTCCTGCCGGACGCACCGCAGGCCTTCTCCAAGATCCGGGCGCAGAGGTGGGAGTCCCTCGCCCGCATGCTGCTGCGGAGGTCCTCGGAGGCGGGCAGAAAGGCCCTCGCCCGACAGGAAGGAAGGAAGGGGCACAATGCCCAACAGCAGCTCCTGTTCATTTTGAACAGGACTCGCTGTCCACGCCGCTGCGGCCTGTGTCCCTTGGAGACAGGAGGCCGCCTGCCCAACAGCGGCCGCTGCTGGTTTGGGGCAACATTTGTTGTTGGGCATTGTGCCCATGCTTTCCGTGCCCGTTTCGGGCGTCCAAATGCCGGGTCGATCCCCAGAGCTCCGGTGATCTGCTTCTGTCTGCCGGCGCCCTGTTCCTCGATCTCGGCCCGGTGGGCCGCGTTCGGGCCCCGAGGCCGTCAATCGGCGGCGAGCGAGGGGGGGGTAAATGAGAAGGAGAAGGCCTGCTCAGAAGGCGGCGGGACTTCTCAGAAGCCCTCGCGCCTCCTGAGACATTCGTGTGCGCCTGCGGGGAAGGCTTGGAAAACTTCTCAGAAGGCCCGGGGACTTCCGAGCTTTCTGAGAAGGCCCGCCCCTTCTCACTTCCCCCCCTCGCTCACGCCGCGGATATCTTGGATCTGCTCTGGCGCAGATCCAAGAAATCTGCGCGGAGCGCCAAAAGGTTATGTTTGTGCCGTTTTTTCTTTTTCTAGGGAAGGAGGAGGACGAAGGGACGATGCTTCGGGGGTGGACAGACCTCCTGCCCTGACATGTCGATTAGCGAATTGGTCGTTTTCGGTTCGCGAGAGGGCGCCGCGGCCGTCACTTTTGCGGGCCCAGGTCCGGTTTCGGACCCAGGCCGTTTTCGCTGAAGGGAGGCTTACTCTAAAGGGAGGCCTGTCCACCGCCGAGCACGAGGACGAAGGGACGATGCTCCCTGAAAGTCCATCCCGGAGACTGGTTTTGGGTCGCGGCGAGCTGCCCCCCTCCTTGCGGTGGTCGACGAGGGGGGCGCTGCGGCCCCAGCTCCTGCGGGCCCGCCGCGCCCGCCGGGTCTGGCCCCGGGATGCGCTCTTCGGGGCTCGTCGGGGGCAACGACAGGGGGGGGGATAGGCTCAGGTCGGGCCTGTCCCCCTACAGAGGGACTTTAATGGATGAGAAATAAAGAATCTGCCCAAAGATACTCAAAAAAGGGTCCCCAGACTATCTTTTTACTACTTTTGAGTGTTCCCCCGGTAGGGGGACAGGCCCGACGTAAGGACAGGCATGGGTGGGGAGGCGTCGACCCCCGGTCGCCCATGGATCGCCTAGATAGGGGCTCGATGGCCCGACCGGACCTGCCCAGGAAGGTCCGGCTTCGTTCTCGGAGGCACACCGCCGATCTGTCGGCGATGTATCGCCGATTCCAGGTGGGTTCAAGTCGGGCCCGTCCCTGTGCAGGGGGAATATTCAAAACTACTCAAAACATGGTCCGGGGACGATTTTCCATCATTTGTCGATGGGAAATTTGGGAGTATTTTTCAGGAGGGGGAAAAACACACAGACACAATTAATCGTCGATCCCCAGGAAATATGTGAAAATATGGGAAGTGGGGGGAAGACAAAACCCAGAAAATATTGGAAAATATGGGGAATATTTTTATTTGTGTGTATTGATTAGTGTGTTCATTTGTTTGTAGTATTTTTTGAAGTTTCCGCCCAAAATCCCCCTGTGGGGGGACAGGCCCGACCTGAAGGTAGATGCATCCCCCCCCTGTGCCAGACGCCCCCCCCCCACGATCATCGTTGCCCCCAGCCCACGGCACGGGGGGCCGGCGCTGACTGGAGCCTGGCCACTCCCCCCTGGCCGATCCGGGGCCCGTGAGCCACGCGGCCGGGGCTGCCGAGGGCGTCCCTCTTCCTCCTCATCCTTTTCCTCCTCCTCCTCCTCCTCCTCTCCTCCTCCTCCTCCTCCTCCCCTCTCCCCGCCTCCTCCTCCTCCTCCTCCTCCCCTCCTCCTCCTCCTCCGCCTCCTCCTTATCATCCTCCTTATCATCCTCCTCCTCCGCCTCCTCCTGGCCACGTGGCCGGGGCTGCCGAGGGCGCCCCCTGGCGGTCTGCAAGTTGCTTTGTGGCGGCTTTTCCGGGGCCTTTGTGAGAGACAGTGTCACATTTGTCGTCGTTTCGAGCGACACCGTCTTCCTCGAGTGCTCCACTTTATATTAGAAGGAGCGGCAGTGTCCTGCGATTCGGTCGCATTGGGTGACAGCGTCATCCGTTTCCCGGGGGCGGGAGGGGCAGATCTGACGGGAGGCAAGCCGCACCCTTCGCAAACCGCACGCATGGTAGTCGCGTGCCCCCAGTCCGGAGACTGGAACATCTACCTTACCAGCGGCGAGTTTCGTTTCCATCCCACGACGTTTCGGGGGTCGGGGACGACGTCGGGGCGGTGTGGTGCACACTTCTCCCCCGTTGTCCCAGGGGAACAGCGAAAAAAACATACACCAGGATCCCGTATACACCACGATCCGCGTTCCTGTGCGAATTTCAGCGCAGGGTCGGAAAAAAGCGGCGGTGTATATGTAGAGCTCGTTTCCCTGCCCAGCTTCTCGCTCCACTCTGGAGCCCCTGGGGCCCCCTGGGCCTCGTGCGGGGTGCTCTGGAGGCCGTGGGGGCCTCCTTGGAGAAATCCTGGTGCACCGTTGGCCTTAGTGGGCCCCGGAAACGACAGGGCCGTTTTTTCACCGTTTCCAAAAAAATGTCCCTTGAAAATGGAAACGGCAAAAAAACGGCGACCGGAAACGGCAAAGAAACGGCTCCAGGACTGGAACCGGAGCCGGAACCGGTCCAAAAACGGCGACGAAACCAGTACAAAAACGGCGCCGCAACCGGCAAAAAAACGGCAAAACGGCATTGGTAAAAAAACGGCACGGTCCGCGTTCCTGTGCGGATTTCAGCGCAGGGTCGGAAAAAGCGTCGGTGTACAGAGCTCGTTGCCCTGCCCAGCTTTTCGCCCATCCTGGAGCCCCCGGGGGCCCTCTGGGCCTCGTGCGGGGTGCCCTGGAGGCCGTGGGGGCCTCCTTGGCGAAATCCTGGTGCACCGCTGGCCAGGGGCACTTTTAGCCACACCCAGCGCGGGACCGATTCCCTCGCTCCGCCCTCTGCCGACCCGGGCTGTGGAGCTATGTACCGAGGGGCCGGCCAGGCTCTTCGCGACAGGGCCCTGGCCGACCCGGCTCGGCGCTGGCTCGGCTGCGCGCGTCCTCGCACGCCTAGGAGGTTGACGCCAACACCAAGATCGGCGGTGTTCCTCCACCGAGGGAAGAAGGTCCCGATCTCGGCGATGGTGGCAATATTCTGGCTTCCGAGGGAAGAAGGTCCCGATCTCGGCGATGGTGGCAATATTCTGGCTTCCGAACTAGTGCCACCAGCACCGAAATCCAGGATCACCTCCCCCACTGGTGGAGGCAGCCCCCTGCCTCGGCGTCGGTGCCCACTTCCGGGCCTCCAAACGTCCTGACGTCCTCGTGGAGCCTCCCGTCGCGATCTGCCCGCGGCCCGCGAGCCCCCTTCGCCCCCGACGAGGTGGCCGCCCTCCCGCCCGCGCGCGGGCGGCCGCCGCGCCCTCGCGGGCCCGGACGCGCCCCGGCCGGCGCGGCCAGAGGCGCGGGGAGCCCCTCGAAGCGGGGCGCGGGGGGCCCTCTGGACGGGCACGACGAGGACGCCGCCCGACGACGACGAGGACGCCGCCCGACGGCGACGACGACGACGACGACGACGACGACGACGACGACGTATCCTGCTATGCTTCGGAGGTCGATAGACCCCCTGCCCTGACGCTAGGGAGGCAACATCAAACCTGTAAAGCGTACCCACCCAAAGTGAGCCAGTAAACCGTACCCACGTGTGGAGTGTCGCCCATTGATACATCATATGTAGAGCGACTGATTGCTTACCTGCGTTTCATCATCTTTGTGGGTAGACGGGAACTCTAGTTGTCCGTCCATCTGGCTTTTCGTTGGGGGGTGGTGGGTTTCCCCTTCCTTTTGAAGAGAAGCGGCTGACAGAGGGCGGAAGCCGGACATCCTACAACACTATCGCTCGACAGCTCCTATCGACACTCTTGGAATCCAGCCATGGCTTGGACGCTATCTGTGTGCCCACGTATCCATATCGCGCGCGGCTGTGAGTGCAACGCGTACCTTCTTTTTCATCCTCTCTCCGTCTCTGCATCCCTCCGCCCTTCAGTCCCTCCCTCCCTCCCTCCGTCAGCCCTCCCTCTTTCCCCCTTCTTCTTCCCGTCTTCCTTCCTCGCTCCTTCGTCTCTCTTCCTCCCTCTTCCTCCCTCCTTCCTCCCCCCTCTTCCTTCCTTCGTCCCTCTTCCTCTTTTCCTTTCTCTTCCTCCCTCTTCCTCGTCCCCTCTTCCGTCCTCCTTCCGTCCTTCCAGAGTCCGACTCCGCCCCTCACCCCCCCCCATCCTGCGTCCCTGGTGTTTGGGGCTGTGTCTCTGGAGCTGCTTCGGGGGCCCGCGTCCTGGCATGCTCAGGGGGCTCGGGGTCCTCCTCGGGGTCCGTGTGACCTGGAGGCAGGGCCCCTGCGGAAGGGGGCCTGAATTCCCCTCCGTGCGGAACAGTGTTCCGCGCTCGACGGAACACTGTTCCGGGGCGTTTGTGTTGGAGGCCGGACAGGCCAGGAAAGCGTACCCACGACCCTGGGCAGCGAGCAGACCAGCAAAGCGTACCCAGGGGACGCTATTTCTCTGGGCGGGGAACAGACCAGCAAAGCGTACCCACCCAGGCCTCGGCTCGCTGAAAGGACGGTTACAGGGATCCCGCCCCCCATGGGCGGCGATCAAGCCAGGAAATCGTACCCACCCCAGTCTGGGCGGGGAACAGACCAGGAAAGCGTACCCACCAGGGTCTGGGCGGCGAACCGACCAGTAAAGCGTACCCCCCAAACCAGCCGGCGGGCAAGTATTCCGCGAGTCCAGGAACACTGTTCTGGGACTCGCGGGGACGGGGTCCGCGGCGCGGGAGGGGCTCTGGGAGGTGGCCCCAGGGAAGCAGGCACTCGCCTGGAGCCCTGTGGGGTCCTCTTCCACCGAGGCAACGGCCCTCGGGCTCCAGGGGACG